CTACAGTAGTTCCAGCATTAAGCCACAAAATATTTTTACATTTTTGCTCATGTAAGGTTAAATAAATTAGATACAAAGTGTAGCCAGTTTTAGAGGTGTCAGTAGGTGTATTTTCACTTTTCACTTTGTACATACATTTTCCATGCTAAGCAATGCTAAAAATGTCCTGACTCGAGCTCAGTAGGTAGTAGGTAGGTAGTAAGTACTACTTAACACACAGACGTGAAATTGGTTTCAATCTTCTTCGTGAGCATGTTTCACAAAATATTGCACTATTTTTCATCTCAAATGATGATGATGTCAAAATGCATATTTAAATATAATTATTTGTCCTTTTTTTTTTAACCTTTAGGTGTAGGTAAAATTACAACATTTTTAGTATGGGAAGAGGCTGACAAGGCACAGTGAACAGCTCTGCGTCAGTCAATCGTTGAGAGAATCTCTCCCTCCACCTCTTTCCTTCTCTCACTCCACCCTCCTCCCTCTCTCATCACTGTCTTTTTCTATGTGGAAGTTGAACGCCACAGATGCAACGGAATGGAAAATGAACCGGTACCGTGGCCTTCAAAGCGCTTCCTCTGCCTTGCCCAAGTCTTTTCATCTTTTACCCCAACAAGTGGTGAAGCACAAAACAAGAAGCAAAACTAAGAAACAAAAGCACCAGAGACCAAGTGGGCCTTATCTCGCCATCTTTCTGAAGTTTTTTTTTTTCTCACTCCCTACAAAGTGGTCCTTGGGGTCACTAACTAAACCTCATTACTCATTCCACATCACTTAAATCATTTTGACTTTACAAGTCTTCATCAAAAGAACAATTGAGCAAGTGAATAGCGGTCAAACATAAATGCAGTTGTCCACATCCTCAGACTGTTTCAATCATTAATTCAAACTGAGCAGAATGTGTTAATGAGTGCCTGTTCATGGAAGTAACATCACCTCAATTTCACCATTCATCAATCAGAAAGACAAACACTAAATACCTTCAATGAGGGGGTATTTAAATGACTATAAATGAGTGCTAAAATCATTTTGTGGAAGAACTGAAAAGCAGATGGATCAAAGGTAATCTCTCATGGAGCCGTTCTCCTTATGTGGATGAATAAAGCTTTGGTCAGCCGCCCTGTATGTTGTTTTACCCTGTGTAGATCAGTGGTTCAAGTATTGAAGCACATACAGTACGTTTCATTCTGTCCAGACACACATTTATGCTGTCAGAAAACAGAAAAACCCGAAATCTATCAAAAAAAGATCAAGGAAGAAGAATCAAGTTTTCACCTGATAGTAACAACATGTGTTTGGTTGAGTGGCATAAGGGTTGTTTTAGGTCTGGTAATTATATTTGAAAAAATAGGGTTAGCCCTATTAAGACCCAGACAAAGTGGAAGGATATGGACAAGGGAGATGGCTCAAAAAATCTGCAAGAATGTGTGTTACCAGGTCTAAGTTTGCCACATTTTCTACATAAAGTGACATGCCCACTGTCGGCCACGTTGGAGGTCTTAGATGCTTCAACGACAGAATGTTTATGTCCCAACAATAAGGAATATGTAATGTTCAATTCTATATTTAGATATACTTGGGATTAGTCATTCGATTATTAAACAATTTTTAGGTTAGAATGTTAGCAAGGTAATCACCTTATCTCAGTAGCTAACATCAGCTACCATGTGGCTATTGCCTAGCAATGCCTCATAGTTAACGCTGTACCATGAAATGATAATTTAGGTTATTTTAGTGTCATCTCTTAACATTTTAAAAGCATGTGACTTGGTGTAATTCACCACAAACTCAGGTGACTGAAACTCACCAGTCGCACCAAATGCAAGAGTCACACTTTCATTCCTGCTGTTAAACAGCTGTGACTGAACAATTATCACTTAGGATATGTCAGTTAGTGGTCCATCTGGTGCTATGTAAGTGTTGCTCACACATTTAGTCTGCTAGCTGCTGGTCTTCTTTGAATATAACTGATCTTTTTTTTTTAATCACCCTTACCCATAGATATTAATTTTTAGCTTAACAATTTTGCAACTCTGAAAAAAAGCTCTTTATTGTACATGTAATTATAATTTAAACACGTACAGTACATGTATGTATTTTTTTTGATTGGCTTTTTAAACTTACAATAAATCCTTGAAGTATGTGAATGTGCCATCAAAGACTTGAAATGTCTTTGTGTCAGCTAGTTTAGGATTAGCATCTACTCCAATATTGGCATGTCTGAGGCCATGGATAATAACGGTGTGGGCGGGTCTTATTGCAAATGGATTATGACTGTGTTTGAAAGTATTTTGAGTTTCACCTTTGATCCACTGGATTGTACTGAAGAGCAGTACTCCCTGCAACCACAATGATCTATCACTAAGATAGAAAAACTCAAGAAAGTAAGACTGAGGTTGAAAATAACTGACATCTTTCAATTTCCTCCTCTCAGAGTATCTCAGTATAGGCTCTTGGAGAACCGAAAAGATAACTCAGAAGGTTTTAGAGACTTTTAATTTGAAAGAAACCTACCAGGCCTTCCCCAACAGCCCTGGCCTGTAAGGTTACTGATGCACCTGCAAAACTCTGCTACCTGAACTGGACTGAACCAGAGGAAGCTAGTGTCGGCTGGTTGAGGCATTTCGACTCTCTCACAGGGAAAACAAATCTGAGGGAAGCGCTGTTGAAGAGGAAGAAAAAGAAAATGATTTTGAGGCATCTGTAACTGTTTCCTTTAAAGTCGTATTGTTCTAAAAGGTGCACTTGATGCATTTTAACCTGCTTTCTTCTATATCAAAACAAACAGGGACAAGATGGATGAGTAGAGGAGTTCTTTTCTTGAACTCTTCCATCTGATCTGACTGTTGATGCATCTGGTCGGGTGCTCTACATTTCAAAACAAGCTCTTACAGGATGGACGACCACATAAAGTATATTACCCTGGTTTGTTGAACATGTTTTTTCTGTATTTTCTAGCCTTTGTTATTAGCCTTGTACCCTTTTTACAGTCACAGGGGAAAGGAATGTCTTGTTTATGAATGCATGTTTTTTTTAAGCACTGCAAGTTAATGTGGAGCAGCACATACTGGAAGGAAAACATTTTAGTTTTTTTTCTTTTCACCCCTATAAAATCACAAAACGAAAAAAGAGAAAGGCCTTCAACTGGTACAAAAACACTTACATAAATCAAGCTACATTTCATTATCTTTTTCATAAACCACATTCACATTTCAAAAATGGAACCATTAGCTTTACCACCTTTACTGCGGACTAGAAAACAAGCCAAAAAAATTAAACAATACTGTTTCAACTTCCGCACACCAAAACTGGCCTTCATTTTGGATGGCACAGGTTATGAAATTTTTCAGACAAGAGGGGAAGTCTAGAAAACAAGACCGAGAGCACAGTGTGCCAGGGTTCAACTTAAACGACTGCCTAATGCCTCTATAGTTCTCTGCTACCACAGCATGAGGCTGGCTTCCACAAAAACGACTTTTATCTCATCTAAATCAGTTGACCAGGCCTCGATGTATTTGGTTTCTCTAAAAACAAACACAAAAGCACTGTAGGTCGGTTGGCTCACAGGCGACTTCCAGACATCATTTGTCTCTTTACTACCTTTAGAGCCAAACATGTAACACATATCTGCCCCAAAGACCTCATGAAATATAGAAAGTGTCTGTAATATATATATAATTTTGCCATTTACCTATTTAAGTCTCACTTTCAGTCACTAAATATGACAACATTTTTATCATAGCACATTTCATCTAACGAAAAGAAGTCTCTTTGCACTAAACAACATTCAAAGTAAAACATGGCACAGGACGACTTTTTCCTTGTGTTTTCATAAGTTTTCATCTTGGAAATATCAAATCCTCTTCTCAAACGTATCTTTTGTACATTAAAATGGAAAACATGTTTTTCAACGTTTCATTTGTTTTAAAAACAAAAGGTTTGTATTTATATATCTATATATATATATATTCATATATCCTCTTTTCTCTTTTGATTTAGCTTTGTTGTGCAAATTCAGCAGTAACACAAGTGGCACAGCACTGGGGAGAGTAGGCAGTTGGGGGGGAAAAATGGAATCAAATGCAATAACAAATCAAATGCAGAGTTATGAAACTGAAAATGTCCTTTTTTACACTACAGTGGAGTTCTTGTTGATAGAGAGTTGGAGAGTCAGTCCTGGAGGAAAAATTTCCCTGCAAAGTCCTTCCTCCTGGTTGCCCTGCAGTGGCAGCAGCTTTTGTGATGCCAAGTATCCACCCTGCTGAAGTGTCTTTGAGCAACACGCACAATCTCTACCAGCATCATGGCTGCTGCTCTGTAGCTGTCCCTGACCTCTGACCTCCCTATGGAGGACGGCAACAGAAAAGAGAAACTCCTTACAGGGATCAAGTATCGCAGTAATATATCCTGGATTTTTATTGGTTCACAGTCTGAACCATAATCTTGGCTGTGAAAAGCTACTAGCTGGCGGCTGTGCCTTTCCCGTAGCATTTCAGCTCTGTGTCTGGCTGAGTTTTTGGTCACCACTGTGCATGTACTGGTCCTGATTGTGGCCAACTGCTTCTTCCATAGAACTCTAGATGTGATGAGGGCCTTGATGAAAATAAACGCTCTCCTGAGCTGAGGTCCATATCGTCTGAGGCTGAGGGTGCGCTTGATTTGGTTGTTTGGGGCTGGGTTGGTGGCTCAGAGAACAAAAAAAGCCAACCCGGCTGGCGGGGCCATACTTCCAAACTCTGCTGTCTCTCCAGTGTGCTGCTGCTGCTGGGTGCTTGTGTCCTTGCAGTCTTTTCCCGCTGCTGTTCGTTGTTGTTTGTGAGGGTGATAACGACAGACTTCAAACGTCGAGGGGTCAAAATGTCACAAAGGTTGTCAGGGAAGGCGTATTGGTTGGCCAGTTCTCTGTTAGCCCAGGCGTGCGATTGGCCGGTCCTCAGCTAGCCAGGGCCATGGTGTCGATGACCTGCTCCAGCTTGCCACGGAGCCGCTGTCTGCGCGACTGCTCGTCCTTTTGTAGCGCTGACAGGATCTGGACACAAATATGGAGGAAGATTACACTATATCATCACACCTCAAACAGTAATTTCAATCATAGCATGAAGCAAAGCACACTGGGTGCTTCTCTTACGCTCCTTAACCTTAAATTTAGCTTGTGCACAGATACACCGGTTTTTGAACAGAAAGAGCGTTCTAGTGGCAATTTCAGTTTTCTCATTAGTGATTACATTTTAAACTAACGCTGACAACATGGGCTGACAAAATGGACAGGGTTGGCGGGGCAGATGTGCGGGCCAGTGGGATGTCTATAATGGCATGTTAATGGCCACTGGGAGTGTATACAGGAAGGTATGGGTTGGTGTCTTATTAAGCGTGACATGAACAAGGGAAGGAGGAGCTGGTACAGTAAGCACAAAAAGACTGTATTTATGTGTGAATTTGTCTTTGTGGTACATCATTTTGTTTAATGTGTGTATGTGCATTAGAATGTGTATGTGACTGTGCTAAGCACTGCAGTGTACAGTCTGTGTGTTTGTGTATGTGCGTGTAAGGTCAGGGCATGTGTTAGAGGCGATTGGGACCGTGCAGCTGCCTACATCTGGATAATAGGCTCTAATGAAGGGGAGCAGTTGGTTTGAATGGAGCCAGCTGCAAGCAGCCGGCGTAACTACTGTAATACTGTTGCGATAAAGGAAGGAGGGGAGGGGAAGAGGCTGAGGCGACTTATCTTTTACTACATGAAAGCATGATAAAGTAGGGGAAAGTGGAGGTTGACGAGGACATGTGGTTGTCCACCAGGGACTAGAGGAGTATATGAACCATGGTGACTAATGGGAGCAGAAAATTAAAGGGATGAAGAGGAAGACGTATAATAACGAGCAGATCTAAATACAAACTAATGAACATGTAATATCTTGTGTTAAAAAAAAGTGTAAAAACAACATTTGTTTTTATGTACATCCATATACTGCCTTTCTGGGCAGGAGCAATGACTTCCACAAGTCCTGTCTTCACTGTGAGGTGGCCAGATGAAATCAATGCACCTGGCCAAGAAAATTAAAACCCCAAATTGCTCTTTTTGCACTTTGGTTTTAACAGGACAGATATGAACATGGTATCAATCTCCTCATATAACTGTCAGCATGAAAGCATATTCCTTTAAAAGTTTAAACACACGTACATGCCTACATTCTCAACAGTGGACCAATGGTCTACACTGACTCGAACTCTGTTTCTGGTCATTTTGAAGACATAAAAATAGAGAAGAAAACTTACTTTTAAGATTATTTATCATTATATTGCTGTGAATGTGCAAACTGTTTTAAAGAAATTGCCAAGAGGGTTAGGGTTTTAGACATGATTTTAGCATGATTTAAAGGTTGACAAAAAAGGGACCTCCAAAATTTGTCCTTTTGGCTTTGTGGTGATAAATGTGTAATGACAGTGAGGTCCACTGTTGGGTACATATACAAGTTTACAAACACACAGACAGACAGACAGACAGACAGACAGACAGACACACATGCGCCTGGTTTATACAAAATACTGTACATGCAGGAAAAATCACATAAATTTAATGAAGCTCCATTAGCTTCATAAGCTCATGCCTTAATGTGCATCCTAATGGTGATAATACCTTCCAGCCTGTGCTGATGTGGACTGCTTATCAGTATAATTTAATTAAAATGACCTCATGGTATTCGTCAAAACAAGTAAAGGGGGAAATGACACAGCACACACTGCTACCCAGTAATTACAACACTCTTTTCCATTCTATTTGATTCTATTCCACATCCAGAGGGAGCTCACCTCATCTTTGTATTTGGTGATGTAGGAGTAGATCTCATGCAGCGCAGACATACTGTTGAACTGGCTGAGGTGCAGGCGGGACTGCTCTGCTAGGTAGGCACTCATGTCCTGATCACTGATGGCTGGCATACGGGAGATATCGGAGTAATACCTAGAGGAGAGATTGGGCAGAGTTTTGCACATATTTGTATTCTATCCAAAACTTGATTTACAGCCAGCAAAACTTACTGGTTATTAAATATTCTGAATGCAAACAGTGGCAGCTGGTGGCCAGTCTTCTCACTGGGGAACTGATGCAGTTCATATTTTCATGTTCAGTATTTAGGTGATGTTTCAGTATCATGCTCAAGGACACTTTAATAGGACAAATGGACACGTGAGGGACACAGCTGAAGAGGAGGGGACTGTGTGTCATTCAATAGCAAATGTGTAAGTTTTTTCTGCTTGAAAACTAATGAAGTGTAGGAAAATTATAAGGCAGGAAGAGGGTAGTCAGAAAAGAGTGGCTGTTACGTATTTCTTGTTTTTGTTTTTCAGTCAGGGGTCATCATTTTACTCAGTGACAGAAGTCCCTTAAGGAAGGAAGTTGGGAACTGGGTTTATTGGACTATAGTATCATCTAATGTAATTCATATACATTTGTATTATTCTGACGTTGCAAATACTGTGCCCAAGTCCGTCAGAGCTCTTGCTTGTGTCCAGTCCCCTTTATTCAAAAATAGATATATTATTTTGAGATTTTAGGTGCTTGGTATTGCAGTTATTTTCTAGGTTAAGGGGAGGGTCAAAAGAAAATATTAATAATGCAGAGGAGAACATTAAAATAAGTAAATTAAAAAAATTATATATAGATTCAGCCACGCTCCCTATCCCAATAATTTCCGTACAGTCTCTAATGATGACTGAGCGTTAACTTGCACCTTTTGAGGTCTATGCTGTCAGACCAACAACAATCTTCACATTATTGATTCAGTATTGTTGGCTGCATCCGAGGAGCAAAAAGTCCATTGAAAGCGAGGCAGGCAGAAAACACACAATGCAGTATATTAGGAATATATCACAATATTGAGCTGCACCGGGACATGTTCGCAGAATCTATATCTCAACTATCTCAAGGTTTACAGCAGCAGGGCAGGTTGGGGTTGAGTGTGGGTTAGGAGGCATAATGGAAACAAGGTTTAACTGCACCCAATTAAACATCACCTATAAATCATTATCTCATACTGCCTCCAAATACTCTCTGCAAGCCTTAGGACTCACTGTAGCACATTCAAGTATGTTGCTTGAAATAAAGAAATGGACTTTGTGCCAGGATAATTGTCTGCTCTTCTGTTCCAGCTCCAGAGTGCTGCGGCAGCAGAAGACAGGGAAGAATGCACAATGGAGTTTGTTTTTTAACTAACATAATTTAATCTAATTAGTTCATTTTATTCATCATTTTTATCATCAGTAGTTGTTATTCTCTGTCCTGTAAACATGATATTTTAGCAATCAGGGTAAAAAAATCATGACTCTTTCGTCGTCTCTTAACAACATCAATGCATGCTGTGGGAGGAGCTGCAATGCACATTGCCAAACAAAGCTGCTTAGAGACTATTGGACTCTTCCCCAAAAGCAGAAACAACGGCTGTGGCAAGCGTCGGTGGTGCATAACTTATCCCAAGTTTAGTTAAACATTCTGGAGCTGAATAAAAGATGAAGGGTGAACTAGAGGACGTTTTTCAGTGAGCCTCCATTTGCAGAGAGATGGCAAACAGTTGCTTCAAATCTCCCTTTCACCTGTGTGTTTTATTACATCACTTTCTTTTTTACAGCTGAAGTGGATTTGAAAATCAAAGGAATTGTTTTTTGTCTCGGACCTAAATTCACAAGGCAAGTTTAAAATGTCACAGACAGGACTTGTATTATGCGACTTTCTGCACTGTGAGAACGTTGTGTTTCATATTTATAGGCCTGGAGCAAGGTTGCTGTAATGATTTGCACTAATTTAATCCAACTATCTACTCCTATGACTTCACTCAAATGCTTTAAATGCTAGTACCAGATATAACTGTTATGTTCTTGTAATCTTACAGTTGTTTTTAGCTTAGCAGTTTAGAAGTGTAATTAACTTTGATCTCACCATTCTACCTACACCTCTACCTCCTTCTTTAAAGACAAGTTTACAGTTTATTAAAAATTTCCAGCTTCCAACAACTTGTATGGAAACTTTTCACATACAACTGTGGATGTACTGTTTTTTTCTTCTTTAATATAGTTGATTTGAGTGTCAGTTTGTCCAGGTTCAACTCTGACTTACCTCTCTACCCAGTTCTTGTAGTTGGGGATGTCTTTAGCGTAGAGAAGTTTATTTGAAGGCGAGTCTTTTCCTAGTTTGTGTTCTGACGTTGAACAGGAGTCCATGAAGGTCTGGGCCACCACAGACAGACAGGCGTCTGTGATACTGTTCTTATGGATGTCAAACACAAACTGGGGGTTCTTGATGACATTCACCCAGAACCGCAGAGGAAGACTGGAGAGAGAATACAGAATAGACATTGTTTGTGTAAACATGAAACTGTATTTGTAACCTGGCGATGTCCTGTCCTCATGCACCTTGTGACAGCTGTCTCAGTCAAAGTGAGTGAGTGTTTTGCTTCAGTTGCTTATTTTACTATTCTACATATTACACTAATTCATTTTCAGGTCTGATTAGTGCATTGTGTGCATTAAAGCTGTGTAGCAGCTGACTAGTAGAAAATGTACTTGGTCAGAACTTCAATAAAAAGCTCACCTAAATACTAACTAAATGCAATGCTAGTCTCAAGATGTTATTAAATCATCCAGTAAATTATGGCTAAACATCCGACACAGCAACCAGTTTAATATTTCATGCATTTTGCAGACCTGGATTTATTGATTTATTGACTTTGGTATGCAGTGTTATTCACAAAGCTATTTACTTTTCAGACATTTGCAGATGGGGTATATACAATTACTGATAACATTATGTCCTGTTACATAACAGACCCAATTACAAGGCTATTTAAATTTGAAAAGTAATTCCATTGTCCATAAGTCATCTGGTTCAGATAAACTTTTTGCGCAATACATCCATTATAAAAGAAACACGTCAAAACTATGAAAAACACATTCAAATTTTAGTCTTTGAATGGTCACGATTTGAACTATTAGGTTCAATAAAGGGGTTACAAATAAAAATGTTTACGTAAATTAGATTATTTTCTTGAATAATCAATAATTTGTTTAGTCAGTAAAATGTCAAACTTTAGTGAAAAAGGTCCAAGGTGACGTCATCCAATTGATCATTTTGGCCAACCCAAATATTAAGTTTACTATCACATAAGACAAAGAACAGCAACAAATCCTCATGTTTCAGAAACTAAAACCAGGCAAAGTTTTTGGTTTAAAAATGACTTAAATATTTACATACTATGTCATATGAATTATTCATATGCATGGGCAGTCAGCTAGGCTCAGCCAGGGAGAGACTCTAATGCAAATACATGAGGACCAAAAGTGAAGAAGCCTGGAGATCTAAAGGTGAAATTCTGGAACACTGTATCCAGTAGTATTAATACTGTACAGCCATGGTGATTCATTTTACAGCAGCTACAGGTGAAAAGAGACCAACTCCCTCGCTTACCAGTTGCTCTTCCAGGTATGTCGTACATCGTAGTCTGTGATGGAGTGTTTGTCGGCCTGCTCGTCCAGGAAGTCAAACATGTATTTGATGGCTAGTGGCAGTGCACTTCCTCTGTGGGCTGTGCTGAAGATGGTCTCAAACAGGTCATCCACAAACTTCTGTAACGTACCCTGAAAGGGAAGGATGGGGACAGAAAAAAACATTTTACATTTTTGTCAGTAGGACTTTAATTAATTAAAATTAATTAATTTAAATTAATTAATTTTAATCCTAGTTTGTTTTTATGTTGTTGTTTCAATGTATTTTTTAAGTGTTACTCTTAATAGTTTTAATATGGTAATGATTTTGTGTTTGATTTTATTTTGTAATCCGTGTTGGTTGGTTAGGATGGGACTTTTTTGTGTCATAATTTAATTTCATTGTTCTTTATCTTTATTTGATCTCATGTCTGACAAGCATTTTGTGGGGTTTTTTAATACACGTAATTTTGCCTTATTATTGTAACTTGCTTTGACCTTTGTGTTCATAGTTTTTTTATTACTTATATTGATTTAGGCCTTCATGTGTTGAGCATTTTTGTGCTGCTACTCATGATCAACCACCCAACACCACACCTCAAGGACACCACCCCAAAAACATTAGTTTCAAATCTACCTGTTAATTAGAGGAGAAGAAAATCTTGTGAAAACTCAGAGAATGTAGAGAATAACAATTAATACAGTTTCACTGTATTGTGTCATCTCCCCCCTTACCTGTATCCACAGCACCGGAATGGGCCATAAGTGTGTACATTTTTAGTATGAATGGCCCCGCTGGGAATCACAGTGATAACTCTGGCTCTGTGACTGTGACAGAATCACAAACAGGAACCCCAGCTCTTGGATTTGGATGGTGCTTTCCTCCAATGACAGTGCTTCAACATAATTACATCAAATGTAGCTAAATGAATTTCCCTAACAACACATTTGTTTCCCAGACTTCTCCATCTGGCAGAATCTATTACTGCAGAAATGTTTGGGGATCGTATTTAGTCAGCCGTTGTGAAATGGAACAGGAATGAATTCTGTCCCAGTCGCGGATCGAGGTACTGAGATCTGCATAGACGAAACGCCCGGGCAGACACAGAAAGACAGCCATGGAGAGACAAGGACAAGATGAGCTTCTCAATTGCATTTGCCTCTCTGTTTTTTTCATCATGCATGGCCAAATCTTCAATCCCTCAACAAATTACCTGTCTCCTGACACCTCCTGTATCTGCCTCCCCGCACTCTGCACCACAAGTCCACCTTTTATTAATCTGTTTTTTCTTATTACCAGTGGAAATTGAAAAGCTGGCTCTCTTGTAACTGCTGCCCATTGCAATATTTCTCCCCCCTCTTACAATTAGGAAAGAGATGGTAAACTGAGAGACACTGAAGGAGGAAAGGGAAGACAGCTGGATTGGCTCATACTGTTCCAAGATGGAGGGAATTGTTATGGGTCTGTTTATCCCTGTATTGTATACAATGGGCCCTTTCTCACACTGGTAACCAATATAATTTGGTTAAATGAATAAAAAAAATTATAAAGCTCCATCATCAATGGAGAACGTATACAGTACATATACTCATTTTATACAAGAATATTTTACTTGTAGGGTGTACAGTTTTTGCCCAAGTCTGCCATTTCCTCTCACAAACCAAACCAGTGTGATTTCAAGAGTGGTCATTCCACTCAAACTGCACTGCTGTCAGTTATAGGGCAATCATTCAGCATGGGAAGAGGAGAAGTTGTTTTCTTTTCACTGGGGTACCACAAGGAGAGCTTGGTGCTCTTCACTTCGTCATTATACAACACCACCTTTGGTCTGGTCATGTTTTTTCTTACCACTGCTATGCTATGTTACCCTGCTCTCTGTCCTTGCTGTCTTGGAATTTATCTTTGGAATTTGGATGTTTTTGCTCTAGGCTTTTCCTACTGTGGCTTGGATTGTACCTCCTTTGTGTGTCACTTTGGACAAAAGTGTCAAATGAATAACTGCAAATGTAAAATGTATGTACATTTACCTGATTTAGGAATGCATTACATTTTTATGATGTGATCTAATACATTTTTAGTCTCCTTAATAAGCAGCAGACTCTGTGTATTAGTAGTTTCCTCTACCATTAAATAGGTGAGGTGGATCACTCTGCCTTAAAGAGCTGATAATGCGGAAAAGATTCCATTAGTCTGAGTTTCAGTGGTGAGTTTTACTGCCCCCAAATGATTGTAAGTGCTGTCTGAGAGGTTTTTTTCACCCTGGCTGGAATAAACTTTTAAAACACTGGTTCTGTGTCTTACTTTTGTAGCCAGCAGCCTGGTCAGGTAGATCTCAGAGACCATCTTGCTGCCTCGGTCGCCCTCCCTTTGGTCCGAGTGGTCATGGTTCTTCACCAGATGCCACAGTTTAGTTCCACTCTCCAGGTCAGGGGTTATCATGGGTGTTCGGGATCGTAGGCTGTCTGGACTACTGGCTGTCCTCAGCATGCTCTCTATAGCCAGGAACAAAATACTGAATTATTTGTAGAACCATGTCAGCTTGTGTTCAGTGAACAAAAAAAAGGCTGGTTTCTCCTACCAGAGATCATTTTCAGATTTTCAAAAACCAGCAATTACTGCAGCCAATTATTCTTCCTTTCGCAGGTTGTACCACATAACTTAAAGCATGTAGATTCTCATTGCCTTACAGGTAAGTCAACTAATAAACCAAAAATCACCCAAAACTCAGTGTATTTCTTTAACCTTTTCCTCTCTTTTACAGACTGTGACTCATACTCCCCCTCCACTTTTCTCTATCATCTATATCTGTTTCATTATTCATGACGTGAGTGTCAAAGTTGATTAGAGTGAAGCAAGGAGATGCATATCTATGACTGTTCCATTTAGGATGGAGAGGGGAAAAGCAACCAGGGAGGTGAGGTGCACAAAGGGGACAGGACTATATGCTGAGTAGCTGTTACTCCTGAGGAGGAAGGATGGATAGAAGAGGTAGAGAGATAAAAGAGAGAGCTGTTGATGCACATTGCAATCCCTTTATGTTTGGTGAAAATGTGGAGAGGAGAGAAGAGAATGTGGGGGAGATGACAGGAAAGGGGGGTGGGTGGGCTAAATGGACAGAGAGACAAAAAGGTCAGGAGAGAGAGGGGTGAAATGGAGAGTAATGGGAGAGCACGGGATAGAAAAGTGAAAGAGGCTGAGTGGGGTGGTGTCTAGTGCTGTTGTTGCTTTTGCCAGCAGGGTGCTGAGTGGCTTTGATTCCGAACCCATCATGGCCACTGGTGGCCAACATTTACCCGTGCTCATAAACACACTCCTACACTCACACACACCCACATGATCACAATTAAACCATAAAGCAAATATGAACACGCAAACACATTATTTAAATGTATTCGCTGTGAATCAAAATAGCTGCAGCTGTGTATTTAAGCAGGATGAGATGATCATGAAAAAGAGACCTTTGATATTAGAAATGTAATGCCAACGACATTATCTTTTCACTAATCCAATACTGTGTAAGTGTTGTGTGAGGCACTGATTTAGAGCTTTCTGTTCTTATTCAAGTCAAGACAAATCGATCAGCATCTCAGGTATTTGTTGTTAGATCTGACTATGTTTACACTATAGCCACTCTTTTGGTTTAATTTTACCATTTTACCACTGTCATTGCAGTCATTTTGGCTCCAGCAGGCAGCTACTGAAAAGTTCTAACAATTACTGTATGCTACATGTCCAGAACCGAACAGCAGACAACCAAAAGTAGCAACTAGTTGGTGAACATGGTGGAGCATTTAGAAGCTATAGAGCCAGAATGTGTTTCTCAGGTGTTGGTGGAGAGCCAGAGCTCTGAAGGGAGTGAATATTCATTATCGGCTGACCAGAAACACAACTTCACACGAATGCTAATGTTGCTCCATATGCACTATATGTGTAAATATGGCAAGTGTTTTGTACAGTAATACCTTTTTACATGACAATACGTTTTATTTACAGGTTATTTGGCGCATCCCCAAGTAGGCAAAGATTTAAAAAGTTACTGACGGTTTGAATAAATGTCCATACCTTCCGGGGAGTGGTGTAAATGGGCACCTTTAAACACACTGTCATCGTACTGACCTTTCTGGTGAGTCGAACAGTCTGGAAAATAGAATATTACCTATTTTGCTGAAGACCACCACTTCGCTATCTGATGACTGGTTTAGAGCAAAAAGCAGAGGTCTCACCCCTATACTATTTTCAGCTACTATAATTGTCTTCAGAATCGGCCCTCAATGGATAACAACTCAAATAGAGTCTATTTTCCTTTCCAAGTGTGTAATACACAGCTTCAACAAGATTCCAAATGACTTCCAGTCCAAGACTTTTCTTGTATGTCATACCGCTCCTCTCTCTCTCCCTGTGTTTCCTATCTACCTGTACAGAGTCAACTATCAAATAGAGGCAAAAATGCCTGAGGGTCACTACACACTTTGTATCAGATGGTCCAGTTTTTTGCTACAGAGCAATTTATCTTCTAAATAGTTTAATTTTCCAGTGAAGTAAACCATATTGACGCCAGGCCTCAGTCTATCGCTGACTGCCAGGTGTCCTTTGTCTTTCTTTTTCTCTCTCACTCCATCAGCTGGGGATCGAGGTGTCTACTTTAATGCCTGTCATTTGCGGACTGCTTGGAAATAGCCGTGGAATGGCCTTGGCCTGGGCTGATAGCAACGGATAAAAAGGATTGGCATTCACTCGGAGGGAGGTGAAAAACACAACAACAATAGAGCCCAATCATAGCCACGATAAACAAAGAGAAAGAGTGAATGAAAGAGTTAGAGGGTGTGGAGGGAGGTAGGCAGTTGGAGAGATGGGAATGCTTGACGGAACATCTAAAATGGGATCACGTCAAATGGAGATTGGGAATCGTACCGTATCTACTGAGGCTCTTGGTGAAGGTGGAAGAGTTGGAGATGTTATAGGCAGAGTTCTGCTTTGGCACCAGGGCGATCACTGAACCATCTGTTACCTGCACATTAAAACACACACACCAAAACCCTCAGTGTATGAATGCGACTTTACTGTCGACTCTTGCTTGTGCCTGTTCTGTGTGTACCTGATAGTGAGCCAGCGTGTTGAGTCTCTTCCAGTCATTGTCGATCTTAGTTGTGACATCTTCATCTTGCAGTATGATTCTGGCCATCCGACCTTGACGCCATTCTTCCGAGAGAGGGAACAGAGGTTTAGAGCCAAGAACACAAGTACTCTGAGGATGTGTTGCCGCATAGTATTTTTCTCAATTTACTTTTCCACTCAAATGTTCCAGTGTGTAACATTTAGGAGGATCTATGGGCAGAAATTAAATATAACAACTTCACCACTAGATGTCACTAAATCCTACACACTGGTCCTTTAATAAGACAGGGAGCGCACCTGCCAATAGCTGTGAAAGAGACAATTTGGTTGATGTGGATGAGAGTGCACTTCAAACTCTCTTGCACACTTACTGCTAGTTTGACATTGGCTAATCTACTGCATGCCAGCACACGTGCCATGCACACGTGCCACCATTGGCCAACTGCCAAGTCTGACCAACTGCTGACCCCTGATCCCTGATTTGTTTCTATAGTAGCCCAGATTGGACAAACCAAGAAAGAGGGCCTTTTGTGTATTTTGAAGACACTGTTCCTACACGCTTGGAAGGCAAGCAGTATTCCACTAAATTCTACACACAGGTCCTCTAAAGCTGTGCCAATCAATGTTTTAAAATTAACTCAATCAACGCACAAATAATTACCACCACCTCGGCAGTTCTGTTCAGCTACACAGAGCGTTTTAGCATCTTTTAGCT